GCTGGAAACCACAGTTGTGGGTTCAATTCCAGACCTGAAGGGCAACTAGGGGCCATATGTCCCTTCTTGTTAGTGCCCCCTTGCCATGTTTTAAGTGCCTAAGTGTACATATGTGAGTCTACCACTGAGGGTTCTGTTCTGTTTCACTGGTGCTCTTGCCTATTCCTGGCCTTGTAATGTCTTCATATCTGGAGTGAAGTCTTCCTTCTAGGCCTTTCTTTCATTAAGGTTGACTTAGCTCTTAGAATACTATATGCCTCCATCTGAATCATAGAATAGTTTTTTGAGAGTCTATGAAATAAAGCAACTGAAATCTTTATTGGAATTGCATTGAATTAATAAATTCTTTGTGAAGGGCTTTTATCTTTTAATATGAAATTGTCTATCTAAGAGCATGGAGAAAGCACATCTTATTTCCCTAGATATTTGCTATACTGAAACGAAAAAACGTTAGAAATGAAGAAATTGGGGCAGAATCAAGAGAAACAGGCAAGGTGCCATGGTTCATGGGGACCCTCCCTGCAGAACAAGGATCATCACAGGCCTTATAAAGTTATGACCAAGACGAACGCTGGCTTAATCACACACATGACCACTGGTGTCTGATTTAATCCTTCACCAACCTTTTGGGCAGCTACAGTTATTCCTAGGAGCTCTGGTAGCATAGTGGCTAAGACACTTGCCTGCTAACCAGAAGGCTGGCGGTTCAAACCCACCAGCCACTCCTCGGAAGGAAGGTTGGGCAATCCTACTTCCGTAGTGATACTGCCTCGGAAACCCAAGGAGGGGTCTCTATGAGTTGGGGCCGACTCGACGGCACATAACAACAACAACAACAACAACAGTTATTCCTACTTCAAAAAAAAAAAAAAAAAAAATGCCCTCCAGCTGATTTCAACTCATGGGCCCCAGGTGCATCAAAGTAGAACCGAACTGCACTCCGTAGGGCTTACAATGGCTGCTTTTCCAAAAGTAGCTTGTCAGGACTTTTTCTCTGAGGCAGCTCTGTTTGGGCTACATAGCAGCCTCTGGTTAACCATTTACAGCAGCCAGGAAGGGATTCCTACTTTACAGGCTGAGAAAGCGGAGGAATCTGCCCCAGTCAAGTTGCAGAAGCAGAATTTGGACCAGGCTGAACTCAGGGTCTGTACTCTCAACCTTGGTGCTATCACACCTCCTGAGTTGCATTTGTTACTCTTCAGTGATGGGAACTCCATCCATCTACGCTAGGCCTTGGGATGTATTTTTGCCATAGTTCCTCTTGGCCTTAGCACAGGTGTTCAACTTGACCTTTGGCACAACTGTTTGTAGAGCCTCTAGGCAGTTGGACCTCAATCCCTCAGCGCCTGCCTGGACCTGGGGTGAAGAGTCAGCCAGAACAGAAGCACAGACCAAGGTCAGCCACGCCTCCCCATCTGCCTCCCCATCTGCAACAGGAAACCAGCCCACCGGGCGCCTGTGGTTCAGTTGGCCCCACATCCCACTGAGGATGTCTGAGAAAGCCATGGCCCAGGGTTTCCCTTGAGTCTCAGGGTCGGGGACCAGGTGATAATTCTTGAATCCAAGAAATGCCCTTAGAGGAGGCATTGGCAGTCCAGGGAGCACCAGTTGCTGTGAGCTGGCAAGATGATTCCGACTGATAGCGACCTGGTAGGGCAGAATAGAACTGCTCACAGGGTTTCCCAGGCTGTAGTCTTCACAGAAGCAGACTGCCAGGTCTTTGCTCCTGCAGAATGGCTGGTGGGTTCAAACCGCCCACCTTTCAGTTAGCAGCTCAGTGCTCAACCATTGCACCATCAGGGCTCTTTAGGGAGCAACTAGCCCTGGCTTCAGCCCTACTTGCTGAATGGTCCTGGGTGGGATGCTGGGCCGCTTTGGGCCTCCAGTTCCTTCTCCCAAGGCAGGCCTGCTCCGTTGGCAGGGGTGAGGAGGGAACCTGGAAGGGACCTTTAACATCACACTCCTCTTATTTTATGTATGTACTGCAGAAGTTCGTAATTTGGTGTACACAAAGGTTCCACTTGGTTTTTCTTTAAACCAAGCGGGTCATGGGCAGCCAGTCACCTCCTCCTGCACCAGTGCCAGGCACTTTCTTTTTGTCATCTCAATGCTCTCCGGGAAGACAAGGACTTCTATAACCCCCATTTTACAGAAGGAGAAACTAATTTTCAGGGGGGCGAGGTGACGTGCCCAGGGTCAGACAGCTCCTCAGCAGCAGAGCCAGGATTTGAACCCAGGCTTGCTTGAGCCTGGAGCAGCTGTTCTTTCTGAGCAAGATTACTAATCCTGAGAGCATCCAACCCCTCCTCTTGAGAAACAGATGTCTGTGAAGATAAAGCCCCAAACCCAACAGGTTTGTCCACAAAAACTGACGAGGCTCAGCAGATGCAATGTCCACACCGCAGGATTTCCCTTCAGGAACACAGCAAGTTGCGTAAAGCCAGGGCCTCTGCCTTCCTGTTTGTGGCTGGGAGGAAGGGTAAGTGAGGGCTTTTGGGAATACCACCTCCATTCCTGTCAGACACCAGCACTGCCATGTGGGGTGGGAGAGGCGGCTGGCAGGCCACAGCTTTTGGGCTGTGAGGGAGGGCCTAGTAATAACTTCTCTCTTCGGGAAGGGTCTTGACAGTCTGCAAAGCACAGTGGGTGGGGAGGGTGAGATTTCCCATGGTACTTAGCAAGTTACGGCCAGAGTGAGGGCAGGAACTTATAGGGTGGAATCTGAGGAGGGTACTGAGACCAATGTTGGTGGTCTTTGGTCTGTCTCTGTTCTCTGTCACTGTTAACTTGCCTGCTAATTCTCTCTCTCTCTATCTATCTATCCTATGTCTCTATCTCTACCACTAGCTCTATGATCTCTGTCTTTTTTTGTTTCCTACTGAGGAAACCAGCACTAAGAGATAGAGGTGTAGCCACTATGGAGAAGTGACAGACCCAACGTGGCCTGGACTTTCTCAATGCTTCCATGGCTCAAGGCCTTGTCTGGTTGGAGCCAAACTCACACACACATTCATTTGGCCAACAAATATCTATTCAGGGCCTGAGTGGTTCCAGGCCCTGAGCTTGGGCTGGGCAGAGATGGTGAGGGAGGCCGTCGTGGTCCCTGGTTGGTGGAAATTCCAAGCCCACTCCCATACCCTCACTCCTCAGGCCCACACACTGAACGGACAGGAGCAAAAACCCAGGCCTCAGTGTGCAGTGCGCATGACTATTTGACCATCCCCACAGACTGCAGGTCTGAGGTCTGGCCGCCTACGTGGCAGTCAGAGTGGAGAGTTATCATGCACTGAGTCAGTAATGTTCTCTGAAACTCTGTGTCCCTGACACCTGGAGGGCTGCAGCCCCTGGATCACGGGGCTCTTCAAGGGAAGATGGCTCTTGTGGGACTGGCCAGAGGCAGGCTGTGTAGGAGGATCAACCCCCCAAAAAGTCCAACCTCCTAATGTCTTTCACTCACAGGTACAGGCAGCCAGAAGTTGGAGTCGTGGGAGGAAGTGACAAGGGACAGGTGGGTAGAGGCTGGTGCTCATTTAAGGGGCTGTGTGAACAATAGACTCCCCTTTTTAAGCTCAGACCCTTACTGAGACCAGAGTGGGGGGTGATGGCAGAGAACAGCTGCTTTGCCATAAAGGTGGGCGGGCAGTGTTGTCACTGTATGCTGGGATCCCAGGATTATAGGAGTGTCAGCTTTATGCAATCCTGGATCAACGGGCTCTCAGACACATGGGTGCATCTGGATGGGACCTTTGAGGTCACATTATCCAACCTGGCTCCATCCTGCCTTCCCCCACCACAGTGTACAGAAGGAAATTGAGGCCCAGAGAGAGGCAGAGACCCACCCACTCACACAGAGAGTCAGAGCTGAGGCAAGAGCCAGGGCTCCAGCCCCCAGCCTCGCCAGCTGGCGGCCTCCTTATCCGTGAGACACAGAGTGAGTTTGGTCAACTCGGGCAGTTCCAGAAGAGGTGGACACGGCACTCTGCCTGGGGAAGTAGAGGACAACGAACCAGCAGAAAATGAAGACACCTGTCAGTGAGGAGAAGGCTGCAGTGAGCGTACGGGTGGGACACACAGGGAGGGAGCTATTTAAAAACTCTGCTTAAAAGACACTACGAAGAAATCAGGCAAAAATGAAACCTATTTCTAGAAAAACACAAATCAAAATCCTGGAAATGAAATATAGAGTCTCTTTTAAAAAGCACAGAAAGCTCACGTGTGTGTATGTGTGAGCGTGCATGTGTGCAAGCACGTGTGTGCAAGCTTGTGTGTGTGCAAGTGGGTGTGTACCCGTGCCTCACCTTGCAGGGCATTGAGCAATGCGAAGATATAGACGGTGGACAGGCCCAGGGGTGTGAGGATAGCCAGCCCCCACGTCATGCCCACCAGGCTTGAGAGGCCCAGCACGGTGAGGATCCCCTTCCAGTTTGGCCCTTGTTCCTTGCCCGCTGTGACACTCGACAGAGTGAAGATCTTCCAGGCCACCAGGCCTAGGACCACAGCGCTGAAGAGAAAAGTGATGAGGAAGTAGCCATGGACGGTGATGTAGAGGGCAGTCTTCTTGTGGAACCAACACCTGGAGGAAGAAGATGGCCAGTGGGACAGGGAGAGGAGACCTGCATCCAGTAAGCCCCCAGGGAGTCTCTCCTGACTGACTTTGATGACCAAGAAGATTCCTCTCGATCCACCCACCCTATTTCCTCCTGGTAAAGGGGATATCAAAGGACTCAAGAGTCTCTTAGACAAGGCTAAGCAAAAGGGCCACTTTGACATATTTAATGTCAATTTAAAGGGCCAAAGACATATTCAATTTTCCCCCTACACACACAATATTATGAAAAAAAATGAATTAATGGTTAATGGCTACTCTCTAAAAACCAGGTTTGGCATAAATATTCAGATCTCTGCTTTTCTTGTAAAACCTTATGTCAGGCAGCTCCAAACGCCCTCCTGAGGGCCCACTGGACAGGTACCCACATGCCACTCTACCAGAGTCCCCATCTGGCCTGTGGCCCCTGTGTTTGAGATCCTAGAGACAGGACCAAAGGTCTGCTGGCCCCTCCTAGCACAGAGCTGTGGGCTCAGTGCTGGGCACCATGGGAGCACCAGGGCGGAGTCTGGAGGTTCAGCTTGGTTCCACTGCTCTGTGCACCACAGGGACAAAAGGCCCTGAGAGAGCATGTTGACCCTCTCCACTGGGCAGATAAGTAAACTGAAGTTTACTCTGAGGGGCTTGCCCAAGGGCACACATAAGTCAGGACCAGAGCCTGGACTGGAACCTGGGCTGCTATGGATGATGGGGCAGGTTGTGCCCTGCAAGAGAGCATCTGGCTGAGGGGCCAGGTAAGAGATGAAATGCAGCATGGACTCCACTTACCAGGCTGAGCACCTAGGAGGAGCGCCTTTTTCAATTTGCCTGAAGGTGCCCCATGAGCCAGTGATAGCCCAGGCTAGAGCCCAGCATCCTGACTCCTTTTTTCTCCCACTTTGCAGGCCCCCCTCTCTTGTTTCCCTTCGTTTCTGTAGGTCTGTTTACCCTACCCCTCCATGCCATAAGCTAGCTGGATCTGAGGAGCTTTCCAGCCTTGTCCTACTTGATCTCTCTTCCTAGGACTCCCTCTCCCAAGCTCCGATACGTGAAGTCAGGGATCTGATATCAACCCTGCTTCTGCAGCCACCACTCACAGCTCCAGTGTGGTACGGTTTTCCTCGTCATGGATGGTGTAGCGGCCATAGCTATTGGCACTCCCAGTGCCAATGACGATCAGGGCGGGAAGGCCTGGGGGAAAGGGGAGGAGGTACGGTTTTGCCAGCCTCCGTAGGCATGCCCTAGGGTTCTTGAAACCCCTCTAGCTGTCGTCCCTAGAGTCCTGGGCCTGACTGACAGCTCCCCTCACCCAAGGGAAATTTCCGTTGTCATATTGCCCACCCCCAGGGCCTGGCTGGAGGGAAAGTCCAGTCCAGCTGTCTCCTCCGCCCACCCCAGCAGCACCTACCCCAGCCCACCAGGCTCAACTTGAGGAAGTAGTGCCTGAAATAAGTGTTGAAGACCCTGATGGCAAGCAGGTAAAGGTGGACGGCTTCCAGGACCATCCATGTGAAGACACAGAGCAGGAAATAGTGGAAGACAGCTCCCCGGGCCCAACAGGCAGATTCAGAACCCTGCAAGCCACTCCCCACAGTGATGAAGAAGGTCAGATTCAGGAGGAACAGGCTGACGCTCAGGGCCATGTGGATCTTGGGAGCATCTTCTGACTTGAACCTCTGTCGAAAGAACCTGGGGCAAGGAGAGTTAGTGAGAGCCCCAAGGGTCCACAGCTCCCATGAGGCACCCAGTTCTCTCCATCCCACCTTCTTGGTTCCACCCTGAGTCCATGGCTCTCCACATGATCTTCCAGCTTCTACCCCTGCCCAACAGTCAGTGTGTAATACCTTCAGGTTCAAGACCAGGATGCCTCTCAGGGCCCACAGGACCCTACAGGTTCCAGGTCCTGCAAGTCTCACCCCTAGGCTTGGTGTTTTAATCAAACTGTATACTTTGCAATTCCCTGAATGCTTTCTACCTTTTCACACCTCCTAGACTTCACCCATGTTCTTCTCTCTGCTCTCAATGCCTTACCCTGCCCCTCAGGTCCTCCCACCTTCTTTCTTGACTTCCACTCTACCATCAAAACTCCCATTAGATGTTTCCTTCTGAGGAGGCTGTTTCTGAAGGTCCTTTGCTGTTGGTAGGTGCTGTCAAGTTGATTTCAATTCATAGCTAAGAGAACTGCCCCATAAGGTTTCCTTGGTTGTAATCGTCACAGGAACGGCTTGCAAGGCCTTTCTCCTGTGAAACTGCTGGGTGGGTTCGAAGCATCAACCTCTCTGTTAGCAGTTGAGTGCCACCAGGGCTCCTGAAGTTCCCCTACCCTCGATGGATTTGTAAGTTTCTCACCATCACAGTATAACTCTCTAACCTCCCCTTTGTCTCTGTAAGAACTCAGGGCCTAGAACAGTCGGCAGGAGGAGGCCCTGCTTCCTATTGGTTCAGTGAGTAGATGACAGGTGGATGGATGCTGAGGCCTGCGATGGAGGTAGTTGTTGTAATGTGCCATCAAGTTGGACTCGACTCATAGCAACCCCTCCTTGGGTTTCCAAGACAGTATCACTATGGAAGTAGATTGCCTCATCTTCCTTCTGAGGAGTGGCTGGTAGGTTTGAACTGCCAGCCCTCTGGTTAGCAGTCAAGTGTCTTAGCCACTATGCTACCAGAGCAGCGGAGGTAGGGTGGGTATAATTAACCCTGTTTGATAGGTAGGGAATTGAAGTCCCCAGGGGCACAGGGAATCACTGGGCAGAGCAAGGACTCCAACCCTGGGCCCCAGCCTCCCTGCCCAGTGTTGGCTTCCCCGGGCTAACCTCCTCCCATGAACTACCATTCTGCATTATTAACAAAGCAGATCCAAAAGGTCTCTCATTGGAAGGATGGCAGTCCAAGGTTGTCTGCAGGCGGTATGCAGGGCAATGTCCACCTCACCTGAGTTGCCAGGCCCCACCCTTGGGAGCTGGTGACAGTTCCTCCTGGTGCTCCAAGCCTGGCTCACAGGATCCAGCAGTGCAGCCGGCTGGAAAGTCACGCTCAGCTTGCTGGGGGTGGGAGCCATGTCCTAGGCCAGGGCTTGGGGGGTGGGGGCAGGGGTGGCACCACTAACGTTCATGCTTCAGTCTGAGATGCACTGGGTGGGGCTGGTGGGGGCTGTAACCCAGAGCCAAAGGGTGAAGGAGATAAAGAATCGGGTGGAGAAGGGCAGTGAGAGAGCACTGGACTGGGAGTCAGGAGACCCAAGGGCTCCTGCAGGAGGCAGGGACGGGATAGGCTGGGTGTGAAGCTGCTCTCACAGGCTCCCCAGGGAATCTTTCAGACAAGCAGGTTCTGTGGGTCCCTTGGCCACGGCCTGCCTGGGAGAGCAGGCTGAGAGGTCTTTCTGTTTCTGCTTGTTCTCTACCCATCCCCCTTCGAGCTCTTCTCCATCCTCAGCAATGCAGTTTGGGTGGGTTTGGCCCTTTGGTAACTCAAGTCCAAGAGTGGGCACGTGGCCTGACTTGGCCAATCAGTGCATTACATCCTTTCAATACCATGATCAGCTCAGTCATGGACACAAGATCCAAGTGAGGCCAGTAAAACTCAATCCTGGTCTATACATGGGATAACTTCATATGTATACACATACATGCGCACCCACACATATGCACAAGGGCTAATTTCACAGTCCCACAAGGCCCAATGCTCAGAAGGGCCCTATGCTTAGTTTAATGCTTCATTTTCACTGTCTTAAAATTCTTAATAACTCTTAACAAGGGGCTCCTTATTTTAATTTCACACTGAGCCTTGCAAATTACGTAGTCAATCCTGCACAAACACTCACATACAAATTGATACATGTAAAATAACAGTGAAAACCCATGAATCTGAGCCTCTATGTCTCTGAGACCAGAAGAACTAGATGATGCCCGGCTACCACTGCTGACCACTCTGAAAGGGATCACAGTGGAGGTCCCAGATAGAGTAGGAGAAAAACATGGAACAAAACTTAAAGTTATTAAAAAAAAAAAGGCCAGGCTTACTGGTCTGGTGAAGACTGGTGGGACTCTCAAGATTACAGCCCTTAGATACCCTTCAAGCTGGGAACTGAACTCAGCCCCCATAGCTTAACTTTCAGCCAAATGATAGACAGGCCTATGTGGTGAATAGCGATACCGGGAGGGTACACACTCATTAGAACAATCAACCATAGACGACTAAGAGGACAGCATTTGCCCAGGGACAGAGTCAGGAAGGCAGGAAGGGGTAGGGAGGAAGGACAAAGGAAAGAGGTGGGCACAGGGAGAAAATGGGACGAGAGCTGTTGCATTGTGGGGACTGAAGTGGACATCATGAAGCAGAACGTGTGTGCTTTGTTGAATGAAAAACCAATTTGCTCTTTAAACTTTCACCCAAATCACAACAAAAAAAATTTTTTTTAAATAGTGAAAACTATTATCTAGTGAACAATACTGTACCGGTGCCAATTTCCTGATTTTGATATTGAACTCAATTACATAAATGTCACTACTAGGGAAAGCTGGGTGAAAACTCTACAAACTCTAAGTACTATCTTTCTAACTTCTTGTGAATCTATAATTATTTCAAAATAAAATATTTTGAAAGCAATAAAACAGTGAGATAAAATATTTTACAAAAAAAAAAAACAAAAACCAAACACTCACAATGTTAAAAAAACAAAACAAAAAAACCACCAAAACCTCAATTTAGAGACTTAGTTTAGAAATGTTAGGACAATGGAACCCCTTTTTATTTTTGCCTGAGTTGCTGAGAAGTTGTGATGAAAGCCTGGGGTTCCCAGAGGCCCCTGAGTGTGGAGAAGCTGCCTGGCATGCCCTGCCCTGCTGCCTTTCTGAGGGTGGAAGGGAGGTGCAGGGTGGGATGGGGGATCACCCACCTGAGGACAATGTAGAGGACAATAGTGAAGGTCAGAAAGAGCATGGAGGCTCCGCAGCCCGCCTGGGAAATGCGCGTGAGTGCCTGCACGGTGACCTTGTCCAGGATCGGCCTCTGTGGGGGACCCCTCACCCAATCAGGACCCATCAGCAGAGGTAGGCCCATGCCCCACAGGCCCTGGCCCTGCCAGGCAGCTCCCTCTGTGGGCAGGAGCCTTCAGGATTGCTGGGTTCAGGGCAGAGCGGGGCCATTACCAGCAGGAGGGCGAAGAATGTCAGGTGGTCACAGCGGCACACGGTCCTCCTGGCTGTGTGCTCTGTGGAGCAGCCCTTAGAGGCCCAGTCTCCTGTTGGCCCTGGGAGAGGAGGCACCAGGAAGGAAGAAGTGAGAAAGGAGGGGAAGAACCCGCCCCATCCCCCAAGGGACCCATGCCCTCCTCCCATATCACCCCAAGAAGGTCCTTCAGGCCCTACCTTTAGTCACATCCCAGAAAACACAGCTGAGAAACATGTTCTGAAACCAGAGGGTGGGAGTCAGGGAGGAAGAAGGGAAAGGGGGACAGCATGCTTATGAGCTTCTTAGTCTGTGTGCTTTGGGCAGAAAGCAAGGCTCGCTCCCGGGGGGGCATAAGGGAAAATGTACCACATCATTTCATGTGTCTGGATCAGTGTGTGAGGGGCATGAACATGGCACGTGGCTGAGAGAGGCTGCATGTCTGTGTGTATCTGATTGTAGGAGCACATAGATGTAGGCAGGTGTGACATCATGTGAGTGCATGTGAGTTTGCTAAGTCCTACGTGTACTGGTGTGAGCACATGAGTAGGTGATATCTGGGATCATATACACACAGGGCGAGCATGTGGTTCTGGTCCTAATCATAGTCTTGTGCGCATGTGTAAGGGTAGAGGTACAATGTCCTACACATGTCTGCCCAGAGCCCATGTGCCCATGTCTGCCCACCCTGCTGTCTGTTCTATTGTCACTTCCAGGCCTGGGTGGGGGACTCACAGGGAGGTAAGTTTCATGGGAAAAGGTTATCTCCAAAGGCTCAGCCAGGCCAGTGACAGGCGTAGCTCCTACACTCAAGCCCACCAGACGATTGTTCAACACACTGCTGCCATTCTCCAGGTTCAGCTGGGGGCCCTGTGGATGGAAGCGTTGGGGGGATGTCGGGCTTCAGAACGGCTGCCCCAACCCCAACCCTGGCCTAGGGTCCCTGGGAACCTCCAGGACCATGATCCTTGCCTGAAGGCAAAGACTAAGGCCAGGAGTCTAGGGGCTCCCTCCAGGCAAACTGGTCACAAAGCCATGCTTCTGACAGCTCTCAGTTGTATGTTCCTCTGCCCCCTTAACCAGAGGGTACAAGTCCAGCAGATAGGTCAGCATGGAAATGGAAGACAGTGGGTGAATCCAGGTGGGTGAACACCTGCCCACGACAGCACTCATGGGTACACATCTGCACATGAGAGGACCCACACCTCTGAGTGTACACACCTGGCATACATATTTTCAAGGGCATGGGTACTCTGTTCATGTGAACATGACCTCACATGAGTACACATGATTAGTGGGTACAGAATATAAAGGTTCTGCACGTTTATGCATGCACATGGACACGTGAGCACATGAACACACTTGGGCTACACATTCAAGCACATTCAAGTCCACAGCTCTGGTGTCTGGGGAGCCAGACCTCTGAACGGATGACTCTGCAGAGACAGGGGTGTGAGATGACCATGGCCATAATCATGCCTTAGAAACACTCTCAAATCTCAACCTCCCTCCGTGCCCATCTGGCCCATAACAAAGATGCCAGTGAGGGTGAGCTGGGGCCTGGGACCTGAGGGAAGCTGGCATTTAACCCGCAGAGCTACCCTGAGCCCTGCTCAGGCCTCTCCTCACCTTGAAGACATCCCCTGCACCGATGTCCAGGATGGTTATGGCCAACCGAACAGTAGACCTCCTGTTCCTCAGGGATCCAAAAAAACTCCCAGGAAGCCGGACTCTGTCAGGGGGCTTCTCCTCGTTTTCCATCACCTGCCTCGGGATCTGTAAGCACAGCCCCCGCAGCACCTATCCTTACCCAAGATTCCACAGGTCCCGCCACTCCCCCAGGTGGGAGGGGAAATTGAGGTCCACCCTGGTGCGGGGGCAGACATCCATTCTGATAGATGGGACACCTGTGACACTACTGAAGCTCTGGATCTTCCAGGACAATTCATGGCACTTGTGGGGCCTCATTTCCTGATGAGGAGACAGAGGTAACAGTGTGCCTGCTTGGCCACCTGTCAGACTAAGAGTAGGGTGTGAAGAGATGACACATGGGAAAGCTCATGGATTTCATCAGTTTGCAAATGTGAGGGACGTTTGCTTGGCTGTGATGTGCTCATGGCCAGGGTCCTCACAGTACCTGTGTTTAAATAGGACTTATGGAGATGGTATCTCACTTCAGACGAGGGAATGAATGGAAATAATAAAGTCATCAGAGAAATATGACTGTCTTGGAGCTCAGGAAAGGAGACAGTAGGGGCAGAGACAGAGCACTGAAGAATCCAGACTGAATATGTATCTTCTCCTACCACCACCACCAATGACAAATTAACAAAAATTTAAAATGGTCAAAGTATTAAAATACATTTCTCTGGAAATTACCCCTCAAAAAAGTTGTGTTCATTCTCTGATCTCACTCTTCTTCCTGGAACTGGAGGTGATCCCACATGATACCTGCCTTAAAAGCATTCCATGGACATTGGAACAAGGAGCTAGGAGGTGCAGCTGAAGGCTTCAATGTTCTCCTTTCCAACCCAGACCCTGGGGCAGAGGGACATGTGTGTGATTCCTGTGGCCAGTGTGTACCCCATGCCAAGGGCCCAGCCCCTTGGGCGATATGATAGAGGGTTGAGAAAGACCCTATCTATCTTCCATCTTCCCTTCTCCAAACAGACCTAAAAGTACCTCAACATTAACCAACTTGCCCATTTGCCTGAACTTCCACCATTAGGTTCATTCCTTCAGGGAGTCTGTTGACCATACTGAGCCCTCACTGAGGTAAGCATTCCCTGTCCATTATCTCATTTGCTCCTCCCCAAAACCATGAAAGCAGACAAGATCATCACCATTTTACAGATGGGGAAACCGAGACTCAAAGAAGTAAAATAATTGCCCAAGAATAATAGCAGGTAAGGGACACAGCTGGGATCTGAATGCAGACCAAGGTAAACCAGAGTCTGCCCATTTAACTGTTTTGCTGTACAACCAAATGTGCCATTTATCGGGTTTCAAATATGTTCCCTGGGTGCAAGAGGTCATGGGAGTTTTAGATTTTGGAGGAAGTCTAGAACCCATTTTACATATGAGGACTCTATGGCCCAGAGATGGGAAAGAATTTCCTGGAGGACATTTAGTGAACAGTGGAAAGTCCAGGACCAGGATCCAAGTCTATTGGCACTCAACTCCATGTTCTTCTAAACATCTCTTGCTAGCACCCTGGCTAATCTACTTCCAGGATCCACTCATACAATGAACCCACTAGCACCCATTAAAAAGGAGGCAGAACTCTGCCAAAATGGGACATGGGACATGGGAGGGATAAGTTTTGATGGGTACCAAACACAAACCATGACTGTCACAGAATTTTGAAAATTATGTCTGAGAGAAATAAAGCCATGACCAGCCAACAGGGATAGAGAGACTCCTCACCTGAGAGGGGGTCAGCGAGAAGTGCAGATCATCTGAGGTGTTGATGCTGAAGTTGTGAACCGAAGTCTTCACAAAAGGCATATCCACTATCCCTGTTGAACTGTTCTCCACCAGGTAGGTCTCGTAGTCTATCCAGTATCTGGAAGGGGCCAGGAATCAGGGGAAAGAGTAAAATCTTGCAGATGGAGTGCCCCAGTCATTTGGTCCCCAGCCTGGATGATGGAAGGAGAGATGCTATGGGCAACAATACTCTTTGGGTAAGAGGGATGGCCCAGAAGACCAAAGGGCAGACCTGAGATTGCTACAGGAGGAAGAGGGTGGCTTGGGAGCAATGCATGCTGGTCGTAAGGGATTCCAGCTGGTCACTCTTACAAGTGCTTTCAACTGTGAGATGACTGTGTGGCATGATAGAGCACATCTGCACCTTTACTGAGTGCCAACTGAATACTGGGAATTCAGCCTGTGAAGACTAAGCATATCTTAGTCTGAACCTCTGAAAACTAAGCATGTCTGGGAACAGAGCTGGTTTTAGAACCACATAGAACACAAAAGGAATTGACATTTATTTTACTACTGTCTCATTGTCATCCTTGTTGTTGATGTGTGTTGTTGAGTTTATTCCAACTCATAACAACCCTATGGGACAGAGTAGAATTGCACCATAGGATATCCTATGCTGTGGTTACAGGAGCAGATCACCATGTCTTTTCTCTCACGGAGCAGCTGGTGAGTTCAAACCTCCAACCTTTCAGTTAGCAGCAGAACACTTAACCATGGGGTAACCAGGGCTCCTTAATGGAAATGTCAGGAGGAAGCAAGCCCATGGGCACTCTCCGTGGTGCTGAAACATCGCTGTGCTCCAAGGCACCATTCATTTCCCTATACAGGGGATCCTGAGCATTACTGCCTAAACTCCCCATCAATTCCAAACAGATGAGGACCAAGGTATGGGGTAGTAGAGAAGGGGGGCAGAAGCAGCTACAACCAGACCGAGGCTATTGCAAAGGAGCAACTGTGGAGGACTTTCCAGGAAGACAGAAGAGAAGGTTTCATTTTGACGTCATTTTTAACAGTCATAGTTACCAAGGGGGTGGGGAGAGATAACAGACAAATATTGTTTATTTATCTCAGAAAAAGTAAGCCAAATGTGGGTGGGACAGACAATAAAGACATACCATACAGCTGGAAACAGTGGGACCGGATTGTGCAAATCCACTGATTGAGCTACACCCAATTGATCTTACTTTGGATTTGTCTTTTTGAAATCTAGACAAAGAAATGTTGCAACTTTCATTGTTACCAAATGAAGCAGTGAATTCTCTCTCTCTCTCTCTCTCTCTCTCTCTCTCTCTCTATATATATATATATATATATTTCACCTCATGTACTTAGAAAAAGTCCCTTAGCTTCACAAAGAAGCACAATCCACTTTCTCAAAGGAAGATTCTCTGATTTGCTTCCCACAGCACTTTTTTTTTTATTATTTTTATTGTGATCTGGGTGAACATTTACAGAGCAAATTCATTTTCCATACAGCAGTTCATACATATTTTGTTTCATGACATTGATTGCAATCCCCATAGTGTAACAGCTCTCTTCCCACCTCCTCCCTGTGGTTACCTTTTCCCTGTGTCCTTCTTTCCTGCCCTCTGAACTGTTTCCCTATGCAAATATTGCCCTTTTGATCTCCCATGATTCGTTGTTCTAAGGACTGTATCTACTTGGTATAAATATTCACCCTATTCTCACAGCACTTTTTAAAAATTATTTTAGCTATGACATATATTCAAAATTTCCTAAAATAGTGGAGGGAATAAATAAAAATGAAAAAAAAATGCCTAAAATATAAATATACAGTTGAATTTATAATTACAAAGTGAACACCTGTTTAATCATCTTCCTTGTCTGATATTAATACAGCTACTCAGATTTCTTTAGGTAATGCTTTCATGACATGTATTTCCATGCTGTGCCTATTTTTTCATGATGGGGTGTGAGGTTCAACATTTTGTCTTTCACCATGGAGAGGATAGCTTAATTTTCTCCAGACCTCTAAGTGCCCAGAACATTTACTAAGGTGCTGGATCCAAGAATCCTTGTGGAGTTTATCTCCTACTCTCTAGAGAATATGTCTGACTAAGACATTTTAAATACTTGGCTATTTTAAACCCCTGAGAAGCAGAGCAGATTTCCCACAGGGGTGTGTGTGTGTGTGCGCGCGCGCGTGTATGTGTGTGTGTGAATGGTAGATATAAATGCAAAATGCAAATTGATAAAACTTTCAGAAGACAATAGCTAGGAGTATCTTTATGATCTTGGAGTAGGCAAGGATTTCATAGACAGGATACAAAAGCATTGACTATCAAGAAAAAATATAATACATTGCACTACATTAAAATTAAGAGCTTTGCTCTTCATCAAAAAGACAGCACTATGAGAATGAAGAGGCAACTTACAATAAGAGAGGATATATTTATAGTATATATATTTGACAAAAGACACGTACCCAGAATATATAAAGACTAAGAATACTCTCTCCATCTGCTCAGCAAGTCAAGGGTGGGATGGTGAGCATGCAGGTGGTCTCTCTGTCACAGGAGCTCTCTCCACCTACCTGCAAGTCAGCAGGTGAGGGACAAGGTGTGTGGTCAGGGAGTGTGCAGGCACACTCCTCACCCACTTGGCAAGTTGGTGAGGGGCCGAGTAGGGGGTCAAAGAGGAGCACAGAAAACTCTCTCCACCTACTTCACAGGTTGGGGGCAAGGGGTGACTGAAGGGCAGGGCAGAGATCCAGCAAACACTCGCTCTCTCTGCTGCTTATGGGGTATGCAGAGGAGAAAGCAGATGGAGCTGCGGGGACAGGAAGGCTACTACCTGGTGTGGTGGCAGGGATGGAGGGTGTTTGAGCTGCTACTCTCTGAGAAAGTGGGAGGAGGAGGAAGGTACTCCTTTGTTCTCCAGACAAAGGTGCATATTGGGTGCAGCCAGTAACTGGGATCTGGCTCCTACCAAATGTGAGGGGTGAGGAGCTTCCCAGAGTCTGGTTGAGTGGAGGACCTCCTACTGACCTCTGTGGATCTATTACTCCATGAAGCTGGCTCCCTCCCTGTTCTGTGGATGTCAGGATCCCTGAAGCTCTCACCCTTCTTCCTGTACTTCCTTCCTTAGCTCTAGCTCACATCTTGCTCATTTTGCTTCATATCTTTTGAGGAAAGATATGGAGTGGAGATTCCTTGTCACTAGCTGGCCCAGTGTGGCCATCTTGGAACAAAGCCAGCAGCCATTGCAGGTTAGGATCACAGGAAGGCAACTTCATGGAACTCCCAATAGGTGACAGAGAAACTGTGTAGACATATCCAGAGTGAAGCAAAGTGGCCAAAATGAAGGGGCAGAAAACTTTCTGAGGAAGAAATGGTAATGGAACTACATAATAGGGATTCAAAAGACTTATACATAGGATCCTCAAAGGATCAAGGAAAATACAGACAAAACCCTAGGAGAATTTGGGAAAACAATACAAGAACAAAATGACAAAATAAACAATTAGAAACCATACAAAAACAGCAACTAGAAATCTGAATTAACAATAAAATATCAGAAATAGGTAAATCAATGGAAAGACATAGAAGTAGAATTGAATCAATGAAAGAAAGAATTAGTGAAATAGAGGACAATCCCTTGATACTACCTTGTTTGAGAAATAATCAGAAAAAAGAATGATAAAAATGAAGAAAGCCTAAGAGATATATGGGACACTATCAAGAGAAATAATTTATATGTGTGTGACTGGAATTCCAGAACAAGAGGAGACCAAAAAAAAAAAAAAAACAAGCACACAAAGAATTTTTGAAGATTTGCTGGCAAAACTTCCTTAATCTCATGAAAAACAAGTAGGTTTGCATCCAAGAAGCTCAATGAACCCCATACAGAATAGACCCCAAAAGAAAGTCACCAAGATACATCATAATCAAATTTCCAAACCAAAGACAAAGAAAGAATTCTGAGAGCAGCTCAGAAAAAATGAAACACCACCTACAAAGTGACACTAATAAGACTAAAGTCTGATTTCTTGGCTGAGACCATACAGGCAAGAAGGAAATGTAATGACATATATAAAGTCATGAATGAAAAGAATTGCCACCAAAGAATCATATAAAACCAAAAAACTCACTGCCATTGAGTAAGATCTGACTCATAACAATCCCTTCCTGGGTTTCCAAGGCAGTATCACTGTGGAAGTACATTGCCAAGCAAAATTGTCTCTTAGATGCAATGACAAAACTAGAATATTCCCAGATAAGCAGAAATTAAGGGGATTTGTAAAAACCAGAACAACCTTACATGTAATATTAAAGGAAGTCCTTCAGACAGAGAACCAGTGACATCAGACAGCAACCTGAGATTAAGACATACACCAGCATCCTCCAGACACCAACCTAGAGAAAGAATTCTTAAAAGTAAAATAAAGCTACAAAACTGAAAACAGGAAACCAGAGGTATCAATCTGTAAATGGTAACAACTTCAAGACAAAAAGAGGGAATAAATGGTGTAGTTATAGAGCCTCTATAGAGAGGAAGTCAAAGCAGTATCAAGATATAACAGATTGTTTTAAGTTTAGGAAGATAAGGGTAAATTTCAGAGCAACCACAAAGAAAAAATTCAGTCACTGAAATAAAGAAGAAGAAAACCACAAAGACTTAACAAAAACAAAGTCAACAAAAACAAAGGAAATCATAAAGAAAATACATAAACAAAAAGAACTCTGCATAAAAAATTAAGTGAAACAAAGAAACCATAGGAATGCACAAAACAAACATCTCACAACATGGGTGAAGCTGGAGGATGTTATGCGAGTGAAGTAAGTCAATAACAAAAAGACAAATACTATGTGAGATTACTATTATAAAAAGCCAAGAGTAAGGTTACACAAAAAAAGAAATATTCTTTAATGGTTACTAGAGATGGGAGGGGGAGGGAGGAGAATTGCTAACTAGATAGTAGACATGTGTTAATTCTGGTGAAGGCAAAAGCTATATAATTGCAAAGGAAGACCCTAAGAGGTGTGCAAGAATAAAGGACAACTAAGGTAAACACTGTAACACATACAATTCTGCAACAACAGTATAATAACAAATGATAATTTGTGAGTGAATGCACAGGTAGACATGTATGCTAAATAGAACGTACGTATTTGTATGTGCTGTGTGTATATTCATCTATACAGCAGAGCCAAAGAAGACACAGTTACGGAAATTTCTTAGACACAACCAAATGCCTCGTGGGACTGAGTTACTGGACTTGGAGGCTAAGGACCATAGTCTTGGGTGACATCTAGGTCAACAGGAATAACATAGTAAAGAAAATGTTCTACATCCTAGCTTGAGTAGCATCTGGGGTCTTAAAAGCTTGTGAGCAGCCATCTAAGATAGAACAATTGTCTTTTGCATCTAGAGCAAAAAGGAGTGAAGAAAATCAAAGACTCAAGGAAGCCATTAGTGCAAAGGACTAATGGCCCATGTGAACCATAGACTCTTCTGGCCTGAAACCAGAAGAATTAGATAGTACATGGCTACCACTATTCCTTGCTCTGACCAGGGACACAATAGAAGGTTCCAGTTATAATGGAAGAAAAATATAGAACAAAAATCAAATTAGTTTGAAACAAAATGAAACAAAACACAGGCTTACTGGTCTGATAGACACTAGAGGAACCCTTCAGACTTTTGATCTAAGACAATGTTCTAACTTGCAGCTGAAGGTACTACCAGGGGTTACCTTTCAGCCATATACTAGATTGGCCTTCATAATAAACAATACATCCATGAGGAATGTGTTTCTTTGAACTATCAAACACATGAGACCAAAGGGCAATGTTTACCCAAGCAAAGACGAGAAGGCAGGGAGAGGTATGGAAACGAGATGAATGAAAATGGGAAACTCATGGTGGAAATGAAGAGAGTGCTGACATATTGCAAGGATTCCAACCAATGTCATGGAACAATCTGTATGAATTATTGGATGGGAAGGTAACTTGCTGTCTAAACTTTTATCTAAAGCACAAAGAGATTAAGGAAAAGGGCTTTGGGATAATAGTAAAATAGCAATGCTAGTAATGAGATAATGATAATTATCCTCACAATAATTCTGTAAGTTAGGTGCTCTTTTTAGCCCCATTTACAGATGAGGAAACTGAAAGGTAACCCCCCCAACATCCATTGCCACTGCTGAGCACCTGCAGTCTGACCTTCCCTTATATTACACCACTTACATACCTCCCTGACTGCCGTCTAGATTCAGGTTCATGTTTGATTTTGCTGTTTATCAGTGGGAAATTTATTTAATCTTTTGGGTTGAATGTTTCTTAGTTTCCTCATCTGAAAAATGGGTTGCTAACAGGACCTATGTCACAGGATTGTTGTGAAGATAAAAGAGGACTCAAGGTCCTTGAGACAGTTCATAAATGATGGAGTTTTGAGTAGAACCCAAGTCCTCTGATCTCAGAGACCCTGCCTTTTCCATGACAACCCCACCACAGGCAGCAAAGAGAAGTCCCGTGGATGGCTTTGTGGAATTCAGAAGCAATGGGAGCAGCTGCAAGTGGAGATGGGAATATTTGTGGGCCATTGAAAGGATGTCATGAAGTCAAGTTGCTCTCCTAACATCAACCTTGATAGTGCAAGGTTTTCATTCATTTATGTAATCAATATTTCTTGCACCCACTATAAGAAGCCCTGGTGGCATAACGATTGACCACTTAGTTGCTAACCAAAATGTTGGCTGTTCAAACTCACCCAGCAGCTCCATGAGAGAAAGACTTTGCAATCTACTTCCATGAAGATTACAACCAAGAAAGCCCTAAGAGGCAGTTTTACTCTATCTTGGAATTGATAGATGGGATCTAACAACAAGAGCAAATTATCCCTGAGAAGTTATGGGCAACTTTGGAAGGAAGTGGAGGAGAGAGGCAGAGTATTTTTGAAGATGACTCACCAAGATGCTGTATCTTATATCTCTTCCTCTCCATCACCCCCACTTCCTATCAGTATCCTGGGCTTACTGATTGCACACCATACAGTTCTCCAATCCATCCCTCTTTTCCAGGTGCATGGAGCCAGTTTTTGTTGTTGGTTCAGCGCTCTTCCTTACCCAGACCACTGCCATCACTTCCTACCTGGGCACATCTCCTTCTGTATCATCACCCCATAAGCCTAAGCAATCTTTCTAAAGTGAAAAATTGACCATGCTTTTCCTCTGCTTAAAATACGTCATCTCCTCATCAACTAAAACCCAAAAACCAAACCCACTGCCACTGAATCGGTTCTGACTCACTGACCCCCACTGCATTTCCGAGAGGCTAATCCTTACGGAAGTAAATTGCCCAGTCTTGCTTCTGCAGAGTGGCTGGTAGGTTTGAACCACCAACTTTCTGGTTAGCAGTCAGATGCCTTGGGCACTATGCTACCAGAGCTCCTATCCCCCCACCAACAAGTATAGAATAAAATCCAGACTTCTCTGCAGAACTCACAGGACTCTTCATATTTTGGTCCCTACCCTCACTTCTAAGTTTATCCCCCACCCATCTGTTCCCTCTTCCCTTCCAGCCCCTATCCCCAGATCTTTACTCTCACAGTTCAAAGCACTGCAGTTCTCCCTCATTACTCACTAAGTTCTGCTGCCTGTACCTCCCACCATTTCTTGAGTCTAACTAGAAAACTTCTATGCAACCTTCAAAGTCCTTTCATGGTTTGCCTCCTTTCATTGATGAAGCATGGCAGACTTCCTTCTCTGGGCCCAGCTCGCACCTTGTTAAGCTTTCTAGGTCTATATGAACATACCCTGGAGTCATCAACATTTTGGCCCATGTGTGTCCCTCCACAACTCCCAACAGCAGAGCTGATTCATTTCTGCATCTCCTGGACCAGCAGGGCCCCTATTTCCCAGAGGGTGTTGGGTTGAACAAGGTGGAAGAGTGAGATGGGAGCCAGCATTTGCTGGCCATGAGGACTGATGACTCCATGCTCTTCCTGGTCACCTTCCCCATCCCAAAGCCCCAGATTCCTGCCCAAGCTCTGAGGGCACCCTTACCTCTGTAAGTTTCCCAGGTTGCAGGAGTCATTCTTCAGTCCACACATTGCAAAGCACTTGCTGTTATCCTCTATGCTATCAGAGTCATAGTAGCCCAAATTGATTTTCCCCTCACAAACATTTCTCGGCTTCTCTGAATAGATCGTGGAATTTTCCTCACCTGAGGGAGGGATGCAGAGACTGTGACTAGGCTGTTGGGAAGGAGGCAGCTGGGAGTTAGGAGCAGGCGCTCTAGACTCTGGTGGTGTGGGCTGGAATCCCAGCTCCATCTACACTGATTGCACTTGAGCTGGACTCATACCCAGACCCTGGCCTCAATTTCCAAGGTAGAAGGAGATATTGTGCCCACCTCACAGTGGCATACTTCAGGGAAAACATGCATAAAAGGCTTGGCATAGGACTCTGTAGGTAGAAGTTTCCATGTGTCAGTGCTGTTACTCCTTTACCACCTCCTCCAGGGAGTTTTCTTAGCTTTCCATGCATGTCCCTTAACAGACTTTCCAAAGCCCTCACAACTGTGGCCATACAGTATAACTATTAGATGGATTCTGCCCTGCTTTGCCTTGGTCTCCCACATTCACATTGGAATTCTCACAGCTACCTGCTGAGGTGGGTAAGGAACGCAGCAAACAGAAGCCCCCTGGGGCGCATTGACTTGTCCAAGGCCACCAGCTAGTTGGAGGCTGCTCCGGGACTAGAGACCAACTTTTGTGACTTCTAGTCTAGTTCTCTGTTACCTGCTAAAGGGGATGGAGCAGAAGTTTTAGGTTACTTACTAGCTTGGGGATCTCAGACAAATTACTTACATTCTCCAAGGTTCAGTCTTCTCATCTGCAAATGGGGTTAATGATACTTTCCTTGCAAGTTTGGTGCATAACATAAAGGACATAGCCCATTGTAGGGGTTCGAGGAGCCATTATGACTCTCTCCAGGAGCTGAGAATTTCATTGTTAAGCCTCTTCATATATTTCTATTGGATGTCTGTCTGTGTGTCCACATATTCTCTGTCTCTCAACAAAAACCCATACATATTTTTACAAATGTTAAGCAGTCCATGAGCTCATAAATGAAAAGCAAAACTCTCTCTTCCTGCAGTTTCCAGGCCACACTCCAGAGCTGACCCCCCTTAATTGTTCGTTGTACAAACCTTCTGGAAATTTTCTATGCATAAACAGATATTTATATGTCAATGATTTTAAAATTTGCATGAGTGGGATCTAAGGGATTTTATCCAATGTGTCTTAGGGAGCTTTCCACCTCAGCATGTACTGATCCACCTTGTTAAGCATTTGCATGCTATTCTGTTATACGGTGTTGCAATGTTTTCAACAGATCTACTGATGGACGGTTAAGTGGGCTTGTTTTTGTTTGTTCTATTTGAACATTGCTTCAGTGAAAATCCTTGAGCGCACATCTCTGCCAATTTGTGCTAGGAAGTCATAAACAACCTTCTTATGATAGAAATGTGTGCACTTTTAAAAACGGTTAGATATTCTTGAATTTCCCTCCAAAAAGTACACCTACTTACACTCCCATCAAAAGCCGATAGGAGTGACTCTTTCCCCACATGCCCCACAGATTTTGCCAGACTTCTCATCTCTTGCTAATCTGAAAGGTAAGATTAATCTCATTTTCATTTCCACATCTTTAAGGGAGAGCTCGAGCCTTTGTCTACATACTCCTGGTGGTTTGAATCTCTTCTGAGAACTACTGTCCTTTACACATTTGGGAGTGAAGAGTGAGTCTGTTTTTCTGGAAGGACACTCCAGGGGCTATTTAGGGGCTACCTGGGAAGATGTGCAGTGCTGGGGGTGAGGGGGTGGGGAGACAACTTTCATTTTTTATCTTCTCCTCCGGTGTTTGAGTTTTTGCTTTTTTTCCCTTCTCGATTGTCTGAAATTTCTATAGCCTTGCTCTGTGGATGGTGTAGAGTAAGGCTTCAAACTGTTTTAAAATTGCTCTTGCAAGCGCTGTTGGAACACACAGAGGGCCACTCCAGACCCAAGCATGCTGGAGGTTTGTAGCAGTGTTTGAATTTTTTCAAAAATCACACACAGTATTACTTTCACAATTTTAAAAATGACTTAACATTTAATCATTAAGATAAAAATAAAAATAAAGATAAAGACAGCAAAGCTAGAGCAAATTGAGGGTAAAAAATGACATTTTAGAGTGGATTTTATGATCATCAGATCTATGTGTGACAATGTTGTTTTAACTGGCTTATAAAGGACCCTTAAACTTCTAATAGATTGTAAAGATATTCAGGACACACTGGTTAGTGGAAAAGGCAGGCAATAATAGATGAGCATTTATGTCATACAACCCACATTTGTTTTTTTTTTAGAGTCCCTGGGTGGTGCAATAGATTAAGTCTCAACCACTAGTCTGAAGATTAGCATTTCAAACCCACCCAGAGGTTCTTGGAAAGAAAGGCCTGACAATCTGCTCCCCCAAAGTCCAAGCCTTGAACACTCCGTGGAGTAGTTGTACTCTAAGTCAGAATCCACTGGAGGACAACTGCTGGGCTTTCCTGGGGGGCACTGGGGTGTTGCTTTCAGTTTTTGATTGAAGGAGAGAAAGACAGGGAGGAAGAGAGGAAAAGAGAAAGGGGGAAAGACTTGAGGGGAGGTGCCATCCTCTTTGCAATCCCAGACCCCCATGTGCCTGAAGGGTTATGAACAGGTGCTGGGAGCACCCAGTGGTGGGTGGTAGCAGAGCCTCCCTATGGCCTGCTGTGAAATGTCAGTGTTGTTATGTGGGTGATGTTCTTGCCTAGTATCTACGGCAAGTTAAATATCTTTTTTGTGATTCTTTCTTGAAGACTTTGGGAGCATCTAGACCAGATGCAAGACCCTGACCTAGGCCACCTCCTCCTCTATGTGTGTGTTGGCGCCCTCTGTATCCACAGTCACCCACATAGTCCACCACCACTCTGTGGCCAAGGCTGGCCTCTAGTACAGAACCACTAGGGCTCTGAGCCCTTGGCTTCCATTGGGGTTCAGCAAACGCGGAGCGGACAGGAAGTCAGAGGGCAGGGGAAGGGGGGTTTCGCCTCCCTCTGCCCCCTCGGCCCCATGTACAGGGGTCTCCCAGTTGACTGCTCTTTTTCCTACAGCCACAGCCTGTTTGCCTGTCTGCTGCCTGCTACCTCCCTACCCCTCAGTCCCAGCTTCCCTGGTGTGTCACTCCCTTCTTGGTCCCCTGCCCCGTCCGCCTTTGTAAACTGTCCCTTTGTTGAAGCCCCTCTGTAGCCCATTAGAGTCTCTCCTCCTTGGCCCTGATTGCTGAGTTCCCATATGCTGGGCTCCTACCTCCCCCATTCTTGTCACTCAGCTAGACTTAGAGACCCTCAAGGGCAAGGACCACCATAGTAGCTAGCACAGGGTCTGGCACAGCTTACAGGGCTCTTCAGTGTTTTTGGAATGAACGAATGGATGGGTGGGTGGATGGAGGCAGACTAACCTATAATTCTCCTCAAAGGAAGGAACATTGTCTCTAGATAGAAACCCCTGACAGCTCCTCACGTCGTTCAAATGGCTAATGCTCTGTCCAAACCCAACTGTCCCTGTCACCATAGAAAAGATGTGTTCACTTGGAGGAGCCATGAAGGCCCAACCACAGCACATAACAGCTTTTGTGAAGAGCTCAGCTTCCTTATGACATCCATTGAGACCTGGGGGTGGCCTCCTATGAGTTAATAGTAAATTAATTACCCATCAAGTGTTGACTGATGGCCTGCTCTGAGCCAAGCCTCAGGCAGGACAGAGCTGCCCTCTCACCCTTTTTCTGACCTAGGGACTGAATTGCACACTTCACTGAATCTTCCCATCTTTGCAAGAAAGCAGGACTTGTAAAAAGTCCAGAGAGGTTGATCAATAAGCCCAAAGTCAATAGCCAGAAAATGGAAGCTGAGCTTTAATCCACATTTCCCTGGTCCCAAGCACAAACCATTCACCCCATGCTGGACTGACACCAAATCAGGAGCGAGAGGACCATGTGAGGTGAGAAGGGAGCACTGTGGAGGGAGCTCCTTCCCCTGCCCAAGGGGATGGCTGGAGATGTAGCAGAGCAACCAGGGAGGGCAAAGAAGAGCTGGCCAGGTGGACGATGAGTGCGGGAGGCTGTCCCAGGAGCAAGGAGCCCAACGGCAAAGCTCTGGGCTCATCCTCAAGAACGTCCATGTGCTTGTGCACACAGGGCTGGGGCGCAACGGGGCCGGAGGGGTCTCTTCTTGGCTGGTATGGGATCATTTGATGAGTGAGGGAGGGGAACTGGTGTGGGTGGAAGGGCCCAATGAAGGGGTGGGAGAAGGGCAGTGTAAGCCTGCCTGGCCCCTTGTTGCAAAGGGTTCTGTCCCACTTCCCCAAGAGGTCAGAGGCCAGTGGAGAACAGCTAGCTAGTCCAAGGCCTGCTATGTCCCCTAGCCAGGCCAGTCAGGGAACTACAGCCTGGCGGTGAGTGAGCCCGGGAACGCTCTCCACCCCACAACCGGAGCACTGTGGGAAACAAAGGGAACTGGAGGCCCAGCCTTGACCCAAGTCTATTGGGATGACAGGACTGATCAGAGGAACAAGGTTAGCAAAGGTGCTGAGGTGGTCAAGGCAGGCGGCAGGCTCCTCAGGGAACCCCAGACCCCCTACTCTCCACCCCTACCATGCCACTGACCCTCCCCACACCTGGCCCCTTAGCAAAGTAGGGAGGAGGCGAGGAAGCCGAGGAAGCCGACCTGCTCACCTGAGGCCCGGAGCAGGAGGAACAGGAAAAGCAGGCCCTCAAGGCTCCTGAGTGTTGCCATCCTTGACCAGCCTTTCCTGCACTGGCCGGAGCCCTACAGCTATCTGGCCGTCTGGTCTCTGGTCTCAGGCTCTGCTGAGCCACCCGCCCCCACCCCTGCAGCTTCCTGTGGCCTCTTTCTCACCCTTCCTGCTCAATGGCGCCATCGGTTGGGTTATGAAAGGTGAGTGTGGGAAACTGGGCAGTGCTCTGAGCCTCAGCCTACCCTGTGACCACATGCACAGGGAGC